CAGTGTTGGAGACTCCTCCCATTCCCAGTGTTGGAGACTCCTCTCCCCCTCCTGCCAGTGTTGGAGACTCCTCCCTCTCCCCTCCCAGTGTTGGAGACTCCTCCCTCTCCCCTCCCAGTGTTGGAGACTCCTCCCTCTCCCCTCCCAGTGTTGGAGACTCCTCCCTCTCCCCTCCCAGTGTTGGAGACTTCTCCCTCTCCCCCTCCCAGTGTTGGAGACTCTCCCTCCCCCCCTCCCAGTGTTGGAGACTCCTCCCTCTCCCCTCCCAGTGTTGGAGACTCCTCCCTCTCCCCCTCCCAGTGTTGGAGACTCCTCCCCCCCCCCTCCCCGTGTTGGAGACTCCTCCCTCTCCCCTCCCAGTGTTGGAGACTCCTCCCTCTCCCCTCCCAGTGTTGGAGACTCCTCCCCCCTCCTGCCAGTGTTGGAGACTCCTCCCCCCCTCCCAGTGTTGGAGACTCCTCCCTCTCCCCTCCCAGTGTTGGAGACTCCTCCTTTCTCCTCCTCCCAGTGTTGGAGACTCCTCCCTCTCCCCTCCCAGTGTTGGAGACTCCTCCCTCCCCTTCCCAGTGTTGGAGACTCCTCCCCCCTCCCAGTGTTGGAGACTCCTCCCCCCCCTCCCAGTGTTGGAGACTCCTCCCCCTCCCAGTGTTGGAGACTCCCCCCCCCTCCCAGTGTTGGAGACTCCTCCCCCTCTCCCCTCCCAGTGTTGGAGACTTCTCCCCCCCCCCCTCCCAGTGTTGGAGACTTCTCTCCCCCTCCCCTCCCAGTGTTGGAGACTCCTCCCCCCCTCCCTCCTGCCAGTGTTGGAGACTCCTCCCCCCTCCTTCTCTGCCAGTGTTGGAGACTCCTCCCCCCTCCTCCTCCCAGTGTTGGAGACTCCTCCCTCTCCCCTCCCAGTGTTGGAGACTCCTCCCTCTCCCCTCCCAGTGTTGGAGACTCCTCCCTCTCCCCTCCCAGTGTTGGAGACTCCTCCCTCTCCCCTCCCAGTGTTGGAGACTCCTCCCTCTCCCCTCCCAGTGTTGGAGACTCCTCCCCTCTCCCCTCCCAGTGTTGGAGACTCCTCTCTCCCCCTCCCAGTGTTGGAGACTCCTCTCCCCCCCCTCCCAGTGTTGGAGACTCCTCTCTCCCCCTCCCAGTGTTGGAGACTCCTCTCTCCCCCTCCCAGTGTTGGAGACTCCTCTCCCCCCCTCCCAGTGTTGGAGACTCCTCTCTCCCCCTCCCAGTGTTGGAGACTCCTCTCTCCCCCTCCCAGTGTTGGAGACTCCTCTCCCCCCCTCCCAGTGTTGGAGACTCCTCTCCCCCCTCCCAGTGTTGGAGACTCCTCTCTCCCCCTCCCAGTGTTGGAGACTCCTCTCTCCCCCTCCCAGTGTTGGAGACTCCTCCCTCTCCCCTCCCAGTGTTGGAGACTCCTCTCCCCCCAGTGTTGGAGACTCTCTCTCCCCCTCCCAGTGTTGGAGACTCCTCCCCCCTCCCAGTGTTGGAGACTCCTCCTCTCCCCCTCCCAGTGTTGGAGACTCCTCTCCCCCCCTCCCAGTGTTGGAGACTCCTCCCCCCCCTCCCAGTGTTGGAGACTCCTCCCTCCCCCCTCCCAGTGTTGGAGACTCCTCCCCCACCCAGTGTTGGAGACTCCTCCCCCCACCCAGTGTTGGAGACTCCTCCCCCCCCCTTCCAGTGTTGGAGACTCCTCCCATTCCCAGTGTTGGAGACTCCTCTCCCCCTCCCAGTGTTGGAGACACCTCCCTCTCCCCTCCCAGTGTTGGAGACTCCTCTCTCCCCCTCCCAGTGTTGGAGACTCCTCTCTCCCCCTCCCAGTGTTGGAGACTCCTCTCTCCCCCTCCCAGTGTTGGAGACTCCTCCCCCCACCCAGTGTTGGAGACTCCCCCCCCCTCCCAGTGTTGGAGACTCCTCCCCCTCCCAGTGTTGGAGACTCCTCCCCCCCCCCTCCCAGTGTTGGAGACTCCTCCCTCTCCCCTCCCAGTGTTGGAGACTCCTCCCCCCCCCTCCCAGTGTTGGAGACTCCTCCCTCTCCCCTCCCAGTGTTGGAGACTCCTCCCCCCCCCTCCCAGTGTTGGAGACTCCTCCTCCCCCCCCTCCCAGTGTTGGAGACTCCTCCCCCCTCCTCCTCCCAGTGTTGGAGACTCCTCCCTCTCCCCTCCCAGTGTTGGAGACTCCTCCTCTCCCTCCCAGTGTTGGAGACTCCTCCTCTCCCCTCCCAGTGTTGGAGACTCCTCCTCTCCCCTCCCAGTGTTGGAGACTCCTCCCTCTCCCCTCCCAGTGTTGGAGACTCCTCCCTCTCCCCCTCCCAGTGTTGGAGACTCCTCTCTCCCCCTCCCAGTGTTGGAGACTCCTCTCCCCCCTCCCAGTGTTGGAGACTCCTCTCCCCCCCCTCCCAGTGTTGGAGACTCCTCTCCCCCTCCCAGTGTTGGAGACTCCTCTCCCCCCAGTGTTGGAGACTCCTCTCCCCCCTCCCAGTGTTGGAGACACCTCCCCCCTCCAGTGTTGGAGACTCCTCTCTCCCCCTCCCAGTGTTGGAGACTCCTCTCCCCCCTCCCAGTGTTGGAGACTCCTCTCCCCCCTCCCAGTGTTGGAGACTCCTCTCCCCCCCTCCCAGTGTTGGAGACTCCTCCCCCACCCAGTGTTGGAGACTCCTCCCCCCACCCAGTGTTGGAGACTCCTCCCCCCCTTCCAGTGTTGGAGACTCCTCCCATTCCCAGTGTTGGAGACTCCTCTCCCCTCCCAGTGTTGGAGACACCTCTCTCCCACTCCCAGTGTTGGAGACTCCTCCCCCTCCAGTGTTGGAGACTCCTCTCCCCCTCCAGTGTTGGAGACTCCTCTTCCCCCCTCCCAGTGTTGGAGACTCCTCTCCCCCCTCCCAGTGTTGGAGACTCCTCTCCCCCCTCCCAGTGTTGGAGACTCCTCTCCCCCCTCCCAGTGTTGGAGACTCCTCCCCCCCTTCCAGTGTTGGAGACTCCTCCCATTCCCAGTGTTGGAGACTCCTCTCCCCCTCCCAGTGTTGGAGACACCTCTCTCCCCCTCCCAGTGTTGGAGACTCCTCCCCCCTCCCAGTGTTGGAGACTCCTCTCCCCCTCCCAGTGTTGGAGACTCCTCTTCCCCCCTCCCAGTGTTGGAGACTCCTCTCCCCCCTCCCAGTGTTGGAGACTCCTCTCCCCCTCCCAGTGTTGGAGACTCCTCTCCCCCCTCCCAGTGTTGGAGACTCCTCTCCCCCCCTCCCAGTGTTGGAGACCTCTCCTTAACCCTCATATATGTATACACACACACGGGACAAACACATACTGACAACACACACACAACAAACACACAAGACCTTGGGTGGCGTACATACAAGTCTTCAAAACACAAATTTTCGCATCAAAACTTATTTTATGTTCTGATCGTGACGGCCCGAGGGAGGGGGGGACTGGGGGGGGGGAGATACTTCTTCCACCCCCCTCCTCCTCCCCTCCTCCCCCCCCTCCCTCCTCTTCCCTCTTCCCTCCCCCTCCTCCTCTCCCTCATTCTACTCACACAAGCAACAAATACAATAGAGGAAGTGAGGTAGAGAGAGAGAACATGTTGGGCCATGTTGTGTGTGAGAACATGTTGGGCCATGTTGAGTATGAGAACATGTTGGGCCATGTTGTGTATGAGAACATGTTGGGCCATGTTGTGTATGAGAACATGTTGGGCATATATTCTACACACCTGCAGGTGTCCCAGCAGGTCCTGGAAGGTAGAGCAGGTATTGTACACACCTGCAGGCGTCCCAGCAGGTCCTGGAAGGTAGAGCAGATATTGTACACACCTGCAGGCGTCCCAGCAGGTCCTGGAAGGTAGAGCAGGTATTGTACACACCTGCAGGCGTCCCAGCAGGTCCTGGAAGGTAGAGCAGGTATTGTACACACCTGCAGGCGTCGCAGCAGGTCCTGGAAGGTAGAGCAGATATTGTACACACCTGCAGGCGTCCCAGCAGGTCCTGGAAGGTAGAGCAGGTATTGTACACACCTGCAGGCGTCCCAGCAGGTCCTGGAAGGTAGAGCAGATATTGTACACACCTGCAGGCGTCCCAGCAGGTCCTGGAAGGTAGAGCAGATATTGTACACACCTGCAGGCGTCCCAGCAGGTCCCAGAAGGTAGAGCAGATATTGTACACACCTGCAGGCGTCTCAGCAGGTCCCAGAAGGTAGAGCAGATATTGCACACACCTGCAGGCGTCCCAGCAGGTCCTGGAAGGTAGAGCAGATATTGTACACACCTGCAGGCGTCCCAGCAGGTCCTGGAAGGTAGAGCAGATATTGTACACACCTGCAGGTGTCCCAGCAGGTCCTGGAAGGTAGAGCAGATATTGTACACACCTGCAGGCGTCCCAGCAGGTCCTGGAAGGTAGAGCAGATATTGTACACACCTGCAGGCGTCCCAGCAGGTCCTGGAAGGTAAAGCAGGTATTGTACACACCTGCAGGCGTCCCAGCAGGTCCTGGAAGGTAAAGCAGGTATTGTACACACCTGCAGGCGTCCCAGCAGGTCCTGGAAGGTAAAGCAGGTATTGTACACACCTGCAGGCGTCCCAGCAGGTCCCAGAAGGTAGAGCAGGTATTGTACACACCTGCAGGCGTCCCAGCAGGTCCTGGAAGGTAAAGCAGGTATTGTACACACCTGCAGGCGTCCCAACAGGTCCTGGAAGGTAAAGCAGGTATTGTACACACCTGCAGGCGTCCCAGCAGGTCCCAGAAGGTTGAGCAGGTATTGTACACACCTGCAGGCGTCCCAACAGGTCCTGGAAGGTAGAGCAGACATTGTACACACCTGCAGGCTTCCCAGCAGGTCCTGGATCAGTGGCCCGCCACACCTGTCCGCCACACCTCACTCTCCTGCCAACATATAGAACAAATATATATGGAACAACAATGTAAACTTATAAGAGAGACGTGAACAAGTTTGTGTTGGGGTTCCCGGATCAGCTTGACTGTGATGGTTGTAGACGTGCGGGCAACCACGAGTCTCTCAGGCCTGGCAGTATGGCCGCTGGTCATCCACATCTTCCTCCTCTGTGGGCGGCCCGGGAGCTGTGGTAGCGGGCGTGCAGGCGGGCCCGGGAGCTGTGGTAGCGGGCGTGCAGGCGGGCCCGGGAGCTGTGGTAGCGGGCGTGCAGGCGGGCCCGGGAGCTGTGGTAGCACGTGGGCGGCCCGGGAGCTGAAGTAGCACGTGGGCGGCCCAGCTGAAGTAGCACGTGGGCGGCCCAGGAACTGAAGTAGCACGTGGGCGGCCCAGGAGCTGAAGTAGCACGTGGGCGGCCCAGGAGCTGAAGTAGCACGTGGGCGGCCCAGGAGCTGAAGTAGCACGTGGGCGGCCCAGGAGCTGAAGTAGCACGTGGGCGGCCCAGGAGCTGAAGTAGCACGTGGGCGGCCCAGGAGCTGAAGTAGCACGTGGGCGGCCCAGGAGCTGAAGTAGCACGTGGGCGGCCCAGGAGCTGAAGTAGCACGTGGGCGGCCCGGGAGCCGTGGTAGCGGGCGTGTGGGCGGACTTGTCATGGTCACACACTACGGAACCTTCGCTAACTGTCGGGTCTCACACGAGTTGAGATTAGCGGTTATGGCTGAGATAGCGGCGGCGGCGGCCGGCACTTGCTAGCGTCAAGTTATGTGGTTGTGACCCTTCTCTCAGGAGATGTCCAAGTGCAGCCCGGCGACTACCGCTATCTCTAGCGTTTAGTGAAGCAATTAGCAGCGTCTGTTGACCGCTGTTTCAGCTGGGCGCTAATCTTTCCACGCCGCTATACTAACACTGCCATTATTATTTGTAATGAAAATAATAATTTAAACAATAATAACACTGTTTTCGTAGATAAAAATAGTAGTATTTAGTTTAGTAAATTTTGAGTGAAGTTTAGCAATACTGAACGTACTGCGGAGGAGAAGGCTTAGGAAAGTATAAGCTGGTGCGTTAATTCCAGAAGTCAGCTAAAGTCTGCTAAATAGAGCGGAGTTAGCTAAACAGACGCGCTAGTTCAAACAGAGTCTCCTTAGAAAATTATATAGAGAAATAAATAAATAAATAGTTTATTTAGGTAAAAGTGCATGCATTCAAAGTGAGTTACAAGCAGAATATTGGATTTCCCAGAGAGCAGAATGTTGGATGTCTAGAGAGCAAGTATAAACAAAGTCTAGAGAGCAAGTATAAACAAAGCCTAAAGCCACTAATACGAACATCGTTTCGGGTAAGTTATGGGGGGAAAAACTTGAAAACTAAGACTTATAAGTAATTGAGATCAAAAGCATCATTTGAACTGAAGTAGAAGAAAGGATGACAGTAATTACATGTTGAATTAACAGCAGCAACTGCAACAGATGAGCAAAAAGTAATTTTAAATAAATAAACAGACGGACTACAATTTTCTTTAAGTTTATACATGGCAGATATCAGAAGTTTTACAAGTTAGTCATTAATCATGTATGTTTGATAATAACCAGTGGTTTGACTATTTGGTATTTTTCCTGTAAATGGAGGTCACCTCCTAATATGTGCTCCATGATAAAGGGTATTTTAAGCGCGATGTTTTATGTTTATGTTTCCAAGTTTCCCATTTCTTTTTAATAGACTCATAGTACAAAGGTGAGCATAACGTTTTCCATTTCATTACAAAATCTTGGGTGATGGTATCTTTGAAGGTTCCTTATATACGTGCAACTTGAGGCATTGGATGACGGGTAATGTGTGAGGCGTATTGTGCATCGCTTTGACCAGTTGATCTATAAGTTCATTATGGAGTATAGCACAATGTGCTGGCACCCGTTGGATAGAGGTGTGTTATGACCCCACATACACCATGTATGACTGGTGAATGATGTGATCATACCTTAGTATAAAAAAAGGCAGTGTAGCCTAGTCAAATGTCTTTTATTTATATGATATCACATCTTGTATCATATATCAATATATAAGTATATATTCTTGAATTCTATGTACTACTGTATATATCCTACTTTATGTATTATGTACCTTGCATACATTTATATGCCTGACGTATTATGCCAGTAATATGTATATATTATGATAAATCTCTTTCCTAGCTGAGAAGGGAGAAAGCCTATTGTCACTTGACATTGATCGTACTTAATACTTGACATACTGTTTTGTGAGGACATATACCAATAGGCAGTATTGTTGCTAGGTTGTATATATTATACTTGTATTAATGTATAATGATGTATTAGAGCATGACTAGTAAAGTCCTAGAATCGTCCCTTCACCCCCACCCCCCCCGTACTGGTCAGGGGCCAGATTCACGAAGCAGTTACGAACGTGTACATCTTTCCGCAATCTTTGGCGGCTTTGTTTACAATTATTAAACAGTTGATGAGCTCCGAAGCACCAGGAAGCTGTTTACAACAATAACAACAGTTGATTGGCAAGTTTTCCTGCTTGTAAACTGTTTAATAAATGTAACCAAAGCCGTCAAAGATTGAGGAAAGATGTACACGTTCGTAAGTGCTTGCGTAACTGCTTCGTGAATCTGCCCCCAGGTCATGTCTCTCAGATATGAATTCTTGTTTGATGCTTTGTATATATAAATATATTATTGCTTGTGTGTGACATAATGGTTTGTTACTTTCTTGGGGAATGTATTGTACCATACTATATTATTTATTTGTATGTTTAAGGATTTATTGCATGTAAATGTCATGTTCTGAGATAGAGATATTTAAAAAGAGTAGTGACGGGATCCGGTCATCATAGGAGCCGGTCGGCCGAGCGGACAGCACGCTGGACTTGTGATCCTGTGGTCCTGAGTTCGATCCCGGGCGCCGGCGGGAAACAATGGACAGAGTTTCTTTCACCCTATGACCCTGTTACCTAGCAGTAAATAAGTGCCTGGGTGTTAGTCAGCTGTCACAGGCTGCTTCCTGGGGGTGGAGGCCTGGTCGAGGACCGGGCCGCAGGGACACTAAAAGCCCCGAAATCATCTCAAGATAACCATCTCAAGATTATGGGTATTTTGTAGAGTTGGATAAAGTGTGTCTTGAGGCTCTCCTGCTTCCTTTGAGGGAATTCTGAGGACATTAAGTGACTGGATGATACTACTTCCTCGCCCCATTATTGATATTTTGTGACACCAACATCATCATCATCTTGAGGTTATCTTGAGATGATTTCGGGGCTTTAGTGTCCCCGCGGCCCGGTCCTCGGCCAGGCCTCTACCCCCAGGAAGCAGCCCGTGACAGCTGACTAACACCCAGGTACCTATTTTACTGCTAGGTAACAGGGGCATAGGGTGAAAGAAACTCTGACCATTGTGTCTCGCCGGCGCCTGGGATCGAACCCAGGACCACAGGATCACAAGTCCAGCGTGCTGTCTGCTCGGCCGACCAGCTTCCTCTTACAGAATTACCATTATGTAATTCTGTACTATACTTTGATTTAAAGCAAGCTAGAGCTAGTGTACCACTGCACTAGGATAGACCCTAGTGACAGCTCACGGTGTACAGTACAGTGTATGATGATGATTCCAAAGTTTGCAGTACAGTGTATGATGATGATTCCAAAGTTTGCAGTACAGTGTATGATGATGATTCCAAAGTTTGCAGTACAGTGTATGATGATGATTCCAAAGTTTGCAGTACAGTGTATGATGATGATTCCAAAGTTTGCAGTACAGTGTATGATGATGATTCCAAAGTTTGCAGTACAGTGTATGATGATGATTCCAAA